AAGGTGCTCTTCCCTTGCTGCCGAATCTTAACGCCTCTCCATCCACCACAATCAACCTCCACCCATGCTTTCCCCACACGTTCCACTTCTGACATGTTTGCAAACCTCCTACACTGCCGTTCGGCAAAGGAGGCGCTCCCCTCACCATCCTTCCGGAGCAAGCATTGGTCGGTCTTCCTTTGACCTCCCACATCCCTTCGCCACCCATTCCCCATTGTCCGAAGACACGAGGGAGGGAGGGAGGGAGGGAGGAAGGTGTGGCATTGCTGGCTGAGCACCTCAGTGCCTCCTACATGAAGTGACTGGTTGAGAAGCCAGAAGTGTTGGAGTGGTTGGATTGCCCCAAGTGGGAAGGCGTTGGAAGCTGTGCGACGTGAGAAGACGAGGATGGAGGAGAGGAATGCAAAGAAGAAGAAGAGGAAGTTAGTTAGCTGGTTGAGTGGAGAGTAGTGGGAGTTGTTAAACTGCCTCCTATCGAGTGAGCTGCGAATGCAGTCGCGCCCGCATATCAAGTGAGGAGTGGAGGGAGGAATTGGTCGTGGCTGCTTCAGTGCCCCATCATATGAAGCAGTGTCTCCACTAATGCTGTACGGTTGCCTTTGCGAAGTGAGTTGACTGGTGACTACTACCTCTCCTCTCCTCCAATCTAACAGTGTGGTTGATGTCACGTTGCTGTCAGCTGCAGTTGCCCCCACCCCTACCCAATGGAGCAAAAGTCTCCTCCACTCCCTCGGTTGGGGAGTAACCGTCAGTGGAGCGAGTCGGCAGTATTTGCGTACACCACTCTCACTGCCACATCAGTGGCTCCAAATGCACAGCAGTCAGATTGGGTGGGAGGCAAGGTGGTTAAGTCGCACCGACTTTCACCCACAAACATCTGTGCCACCGCAGACTTGACGTCTGCATGGCATTATTGATTCACGTCAATTTGAATTGATGGATGGTCGGTGGAGAGGAGTCCTGCACCTCGAAGACGTGGTTGCACTTCACTACGCATAAACTGACCACCATTCTTCTTCAAAATACACCTTGCATTCTCACCACAAACTACCTACGACCTCGTGGCGCACGAAAAGGGGTGAATTGGGATGCGTTGTGCACTGTAATTTGGAGGGTAGGAGGCGGCACTGATGTGCGATAACCATTGCTGCATTGTGTGGTGTAGGCAGAAGAGGAGTGAATTGTACTGCAGCTTGAATGTCACCAGTGAAGTCCTGTGTCAAGAGTCGAAGCTGCTGCATGCGGTAAGTAGGGATGGGCAGTTGTACTTCCTTCCTAAGACGTGCAGTGGCGATGCATTGCTTATTCTCAGCAGTGCAGTCAAATGGATTTAAAATTGAGCTCCGAATTCTGCATTTTAAGGTCGTGGGAGGAGGAGAGGCAGGTGGAGGAGGAGGAGGAGGGTATGTCTTCGAGGACAGATTGTTTGGCAATCTCTCGGTGGAAGGGTAGAACTGCGTTTCTATTGTCCACTTCACTGTCCTATTGCGGGTGGAGTGGGAGAGCGGTTGTTAAGGAAGGCACGTGAATTGACCCACAGAGATGATTTGGCACCTTTTCATTTATTGTAGGCAAAGTGTGGGGGCTAATAAACGACATTGAACATGGGGAAAGGATTTCCAGGAACGGTAATGTTTGTTTTTACTCTCTTTGACAATTTTCCACTCCATTCGTTCCCCCCTCTGTTTTTCCAAAGGACGCAGCTCAGAAAATGCACATCCTATTTGCTTTAAACAAACTGTGGAGCAAGACCTTTGCCATTCATTTTATGCACAACCATGTCACCCGTTTGTCCCCTTTTTTAGTATCATTGAATTTCAGGAACACAGTTGTTAGACATCAACCCGTCACTTGGCTTAAAATAACTTTTAAATAACGAGAACCCGTCCCCAAATTAGTGGTAGTAAGACTATAAAAGAGCCACATGAAGCCTCGTACCAACTCTTTTCCTGTGGCGACCTCGTTATCATCCCAACCTTTTCCATCTGTGCTTTCGCATATCGTGTTGACTTTCCAACTCAGACAACGCATTTATTCCGGTATCCATCGAGGGAGAAGCAGTTTCTTCACTCGACGACGATGATGACGACCTGGGGGAGGATGCTTTGCACGAGGTGGAGGATGTGGTCGCAGGCGACGAGGAGGAGGAGGAGGAGGAGGAGGGGGAGGTTGTGGACGTGGACAACGACGAGGAGTATTGGCAAACATGCTGGACGGGACTGCCTGATGGAGGATTTTCAATAAATGAATGCGAATCCGACGTCTATGATAGGGATTTGGAAATCAGTACAGCCCGCACCCTCTATAACAACGTAAGCTTTACCCACCCAACAATAGGCATTTGAGTCGCCACTTCAAATTTGTCCAAAGCTCTGCATCAATGCGTTGTTATTTTAGCAGGTATTAGATGACACGTGGTTGGACATATTATGGACGGATGGAAGGCGTACCCATTTTCTTCTTTGGAGTGCATACCCCCACGACCTGCGTGCAATACTTGTGAGGTGGATGATGCAGGCACGATCACCATTTACCTGTAGCCACGGCTGTCTTACCGAGGAGAGCGTAATTTCTCATCTCTGTTTCTGCCTTAAGGTGCAGCAGTTTGCCGGCTTTCCCACCCACTTTTTGTTCATGGCGGTGGAGTTGGTGGACTATTTCACCAGTATCAGTGCCATGCTTGTGAGTGAGTGTCAATTGGTGGCCTGTGCGGCACAGAAAATAGTATTGGATTTGAAACCACAATTCACGGTGCCAGAAGCGACATTTCTTGAAATGACTGGGGGCGCGTACACACGAGCACAGGTGCGAATACCGATGCATGATTTGGGACAACCTCTGACCACGTCACCACTGCGTGCCCTCTCATGCCCCCTTTTGTCTGTAGTTGCGACATATGATGAACAGAGTGGAACGTGCTCTAGGATCGGATGAACACATTCCCAATCCTTACAACTACCTCGCGGCCTGCTTTAAGTGCTGTGAGAGGTTCGCCTCACCAATTTCCAGAGCAGAGGTAGGAAGCTTCCTCACAGTGTAATGTCGCCTTATCGTTTCGTGCCTGTTTGCAGTGCTACCTGATGTGTCGTTACATATTGGAGTTGGGGTTGACCGACAGTAGGTTGGTCCCGTATTCTGCCATCCTCCGATGCTGTGCGGTGGTGTACCTCATCCGACGGATTCTTCGGAACTATTTCGTATTGGTCGGAGATCGGAGAGCACAAGAATTTCGACTGTGGCCACAAGAATTGCAAACATTCACTGGTGTATGTGAAGATGATTCGTTCTATACTGTAGCCTATCTGTATGGAATGAAATTGAGCTTAGCGTTGACCCTTAACCATGGCGAGCAATCGGAAGAAGCTCAACATTTGCAGGTATGTTATGAGGGTTGAGGTGCGTGCGCACCCCATTAAATGTAGTAGTCCATTATTCCTCTCCATGGGTGCACAGCTGCTTAGTCCTCACACTCGAACCAAATGTGAAAGCCCCCGTCTGGTCACTTTGATACTTTCGACTTAAGCATCAATTTCGTATTGCTTGATTATTTTAATATCATCGCTATTTTGCCATCTCCGCTTTTCCCTTCTACATTAGACCGCATTTCACAAGTATAGGCAAACCTATTACCATGCGATTGCGACCAGTCCCGTGTTGACAACCTTCACACTCCTCTCAGCCTTCCCTCCTGGTGAAGATGTCTGCCACGTTTAGTCCTTCATGTCCACGACCACATTTGGCGAGTTGGACCAGTCATGCATGCACTCTCCTTTGTGTTACACGCAACTGACTCTGAGTGTCAGTGAGTAAAAGCCAATTGGTTTTATTCAGTTAGTTAAATTGTCATTAAACTGCAACCCTTTTATGCCTCTCTGCATCCCGCTTTCTTACATCCACCCGCGACTGGCAAGGGCAGAGTGGAGGCATAATATTTGGAGGAAGAGAGGACGGTTGGGAGTGCCTTCGCCATACCCATTGCCTAGTAGTCGTAGCTGCTGCAAGGTGCGGTCATTTTCACATTGCCCTGCCCTTTCCTTGTCGTGGTGTCGGTCAACGCAACAGCAGTGGCTCCAAACTCACATGCTAGTGGACGTGAGTGTGCGGCAAGTGGATATCAGCGAGACCGATTGTACCAACTGTTGCACTGAGGTAGTTGAGGGCGTCAGCTGTCGGGTGGGTCAGTAGGAAACGCAGAATATGGATGCGGGATGATTGTGGAAGGGTTAGGATGGGCTGAGATGCTAGTGGTAGGAAAGGATGGGGTGGGGTAAAAGTCGGACGAGACTCCTGCCTGTTGGATGAGTGAAGACGTAAGTTGAGGAGGTGGAAATGGGAAGGCGTGTGTGTGGGGTAGGTAGGAGTAAGTGGGGAAGTAAATGGGTGGTGACGTGGGTAAGAGGCGGGTGGAGGGGGATGATGCAGCATTTGGGTGCACTTGGGAAGGAGAGTTTTGTCGAATTGTGTACGATGCTTTGCTCTCCGCTTCGTTGGACGGATGGATGTGGCTGCTTGTTAAAGCCAAGTATGTGTATCGCCGCGAAATGAAAGGAGTCGGTAGACTGCATGAGCAGGATGCGAAGGGGATGGAAGGATGGTGTCTCAAGCGCAACTTCCGTAGTCCGGTGAGGTGGTCGCATGAGCGGGTGCGAGAGGTGGAAGATGGTTGGAGGCGTGGGCATGGCCAGCATCGCGAGGGTAGTCAGGA